TGATGGGGTCTGGGTTTGGGTTCTGCTAATTGCATTGATTCATTGCAATAAAGTAAACACATTTAAAAGGTAACAGATCATTTTAAACTTTGGTTTATTTTATATAATGATTTTAATCGCCGGCTGTCCGGCCCCTGAGCTGTTGGCTTTCAGAAATTGCAACCCCCAAGCAATTTTGTAGAATAGCCCTGATCTAAAGGACATTTTTTAACCTGGCTTTGGCTGCCTCAGAGGAGTCGATGGGGGAGAGGGCGGACTCTAAATACCATTTTATCACCATCAAACTGGTCGGCCCACTATGTGAGTAGGCCACTTATTTGACTGAGTTTGTTGTGGTTCCTCGGAATTGAAAACGTTCTTTGGATGAAAGACGAAACGTTTCAACAAAAAAGAAACCGTCCAGATGACCTGACTAACTTTGGTGGATCTAAAGGAAATTGTGAAGTCCTTTAAAAAGCCTAAATAACTATTCATCACAAGTTTAAAAACAACAAGAAACTCTGACTATCTGGCAGAAGTCACAACCCCCACAACTATAAATAAATGAGTGGGTGCTTTAAATTATGTGTATTACAATATGGTTTATTGGAGCTGCACACTATTTCTGAAACCTCATTTATCTCCTAATAATTTGTCAGCTTTTTAATAATGCCAAGTTATTATAAAAAATGAATATATATATGTATATGTAAAATATCTATATAATAAATACATGCAAGTCTATAGATAAAAAAAAAACAATTACCGAAATGTGTGTGTCTGTAATGACAAAATTCTCTTAGAATCAGTGACTCTGTGTCAAACATGACTAACAACACACACAGAGACACACAAGAACCTTAGCCTTGTTATCCAGGGGCCTGTCTTGCAGGCAGCCTCTCTAATGCTGAGTGATGTTTAAATTAGTTTACAATTTAGGCTCCTCGCTATCCGCAGACGGCTCTTAACTCAGTGTGTCTATGTGATGTGTTTTTTTTTGTGTGTGTTTTTGTGCGTGTGAGAGCGTAACAAATTGTTGCCAGTACGGCAGACATCTAATGACTTCAAATTAGCTGCCTGGCGCTCGCCTTGACACGTTGTTACCACTGTTAGAGCCTTTGTGTGCGTGTTTCACAAATGTGCATTTTGTGTGTGTGTGTGCCTCTGTGTGCAGCTCTGCGCAGCCATATCATGAAACATAAATTGACTTCACCTCCCCCCTTCTCTGCCTCTGTCTTTTTTGTCTTTGTCTCTCTCCATCAATTTGATTAAAAAAAATTACTGTACCATGGCGAGCAAAGGCATGTGTGTGTACACTTTGAACACAGTCATCTTTTACACACGCTCACAACAAGATGTGAAACAAGATGGCTGCTAACAAGTTAACAGGTCTGTCCTCCTCTGTTCCATGCGTGTGTGGGCATATGTGTGTGTGTGAGACAGATAAAGAATGTGAAGGAGGCGTATTTCTATCTGACAATCCTTTCCACTGCGAGTGAACAGTAGATCACTTTCTGTGAGGGCACGGTTGTGTGTGTATGTCTAGAGTGAGTGCGAGTATTAGATCAGTGTTCAGAGCTGT